GGAGGAGAGGAGGAGAAGGAGGTCCATCCCCCCCCCGGTCCGATCCCCCCTGGCAAAGCCGCCTACCTCCCCGCCCACCCGGAGCTTGCGTAGGTCGGCCCAGGTGTCCCTCCTCCTCCTCCCCCTCTGGACCCCCGGGCTTTAGTAGAGTCTCATCATTGGCCACGACTCCCAGTCCTTTATATGTTGTTAACTCTTAATAATAAAAAATTAAGAACAATAATAATAGTACGTTATTAGGTGAAGAACTACAGAGAGATGTAGTGGCACAACAGGGGCCCTACACAGGGCCCACAGGGGTACACAGGGGCCACACAAGGGGCACACAGGGGCCACACAAGGGGCCCACACAGGGGCACACAGTCCTCCTGAAGAGTTTCACAGTCTTTTATTTGGAGAGAGAAAAGGAGGTCATGGGTTTAGAGATTTTTCCGCCCTTGTTGCTTCGACTAAGGTCTAAACGACGCAGATACTGCTGTAATGATTTTACACCGCCCGAAATGTGGAGTGCCCAGGGTTAGTCTTTGCACGACAGTCTTATTGTGTCTCACAGGACCTCCATTCATACCAGACACAAATATTAATCGTAGCGAGCGTGAGTGTCGATTGGACCCGACTATGAAAATGATAAAGGTGATAAAGTGATAAAGTGCATAACTAAAAACGGACAAAGGCCTGGACCCCCTTTTCCCCCCTTTGAGAGGAGCAGAGGGGGAGGAGCGCCAAGGAGGGTCTACGAGCGTGAGTAACAACGTTTTATTCCACACTTCTGTAACATGATAATTACAATAATAAACTTGGCAAAAGTACACACCTCCTTCACTAAAGTAGAAGTACAGATACTCGTGTTTAAAAATACTCTGGTGAAAGTAGAAGTACTGACTAAACTTCTTTACTCAAGTCAAAGTAAAGAGGCTTTGAAATGTACTTCAGTAAAAAGTACCCATAACTAGCAGTTGTTTTAAAGAGTACCTGACCTCCCTTTATATTAATAGAACAATAATGTCATTGTTAGCTAATGAATGTTTCCATGCTGAAAACATAACATAGCTTATTTGTAACTGTAGTGAGTCTGATGATACATTTAATTGAACTATTAGAAATGAATTATTTACCTCCTCCTCCTCTCAGGGCGTTATGAGCCATACGCCGGTCTGAATGAAGCAGAGGATTGTGGGATACTTCACGGCTGCGAGAACGGCAGGTGTATCCGCGTCGCCGAGGGTTACACCTGCGACTGTTACCAAGGATACGAACTGGACATGACCTCAATGACATGTATAGGTACCCACACGGATACTTATTTTATTCAATTTTATTTATTTTAGTTATTTTATTTACAAAAATGCAAAAATACGTATTATTTGGGGATTTTTATTTATATTTTTCTGCCCTAATATTTTCTCTGTTATTTCTTTAGCTATTTTTGTTGAATTTTATATTTTGTGTGTGTGTGTGCCTGTGTGCGTGTGTGTGTGTGTGCAGATATAAACGAGTGTGAGGACGGCGGCGTGGACTACCCGTGTGTGAACTCTCGCTGCGTGAACACGGACGGTTCGTTCCGCTGCGTCTGCAGGAGAGGATACGTGATGTCACGCAGACCCAACCACTGCGTCGCCGCGTAGAGAAACGGACCGTAAAGAAACAACAGCACTATACAGAGCTGAAGGACGTCCTATTTTCTGTGTTGGTCCCTGAAGGCAGCATCGGCCTGGGATTTCTCCTTTTGATTCTGGATTATTGCAGAAAATATTCTCAACGTTTTTGATACTTACCACATTTTTTGAAGTATAAAGCCAACGTTAGGCTATAAAGGAACTACAGCACGGTCACATGACTTCACGTCACCACCGCTAAGCTAAAGGCGGCTAATGTTGGGCTATAAAGGAACTACAGCACGGTCACATGACTTCACTTCACCACCGCTAAGCTAAAGGCGGCTAACGTTGGGCTATAAAGGAACTACAGCACGGTCACATGACTTCACGTCGCCACCGCTAAGCTAAAGGCAGCTAATGTTGGGCTGTATAGGAACTACAGCACGGTCACATGACTTCACGTTACCAGCGCTAAGCTAAAGGCGGCTAATGTTGGGCTATAAGGAACTACAGCACGGTCACATGACTTCACGTCACCACCGCTAAGCTAAAGGAGGCTAATGTTGGGCTATAAAGGAACTACAGCACGGTCACATGACTTCACGTCACCACCGCTAAGCTAAAGGCGGCTAATGTTGGGCTATAAAGGAACTACAGCACGGTCACATGACTTATCTCTTGAAGTTTCTCTATAAATCTACTTTCTCTGTGCCAAAGAGCTCCATTGCTTTCTTATAAGGAAGCCCATAGGGGACTTTATACAAAATCACGTTGAGTTAAAATAAAATCGTATTCGACAATACACAGGGTTTTTTCTAGAACAATATAGTATGAGGGCGCTAACGTCACTTCTGGCTATATTATCGCCCCGCCCACTTTACGGTGAAAATACTGCATCAGAGCGAAGCGGAAAATATAAGTGTCTTCATGTCTTAAAGCTGCTGAGTCAGATATACATCCAGAGTTACGGTTTCTTTATTTCCTCTACAGAAAATCTGCAATTTGATAGAGGGTGCAGACTAAACCCTGGATACCGTTATAAATGGTGTCTTTAAATTTCCCAGACACCCCACTATATATAAACATTAAAATCCAATGTAACCTGATATTTCTTATTGCAATGAGTTACAATTCAAAATCGAAATACAAATATAATTGTTTGAAAATGTACAGCATCATATCAACAAGGCATTACTGCACACATCACGATTAAAAGTAAAGATTCCTAACAACTTATACATTAATACATCATTTGATAATAACCTGCTGAAAAATGTACAATATTCAAATGTTTGTGATCAAAACTTTAGCCTATTCTCTCTTTATTTGTGCAAGTCTTAATACAAATCTAAATGCAAAAAAACTTTTTAAATGATTATTTACCATATATATAGTGGACAGTATTGAAATATTAAATAGCCATACAAACAATGCTACCTAATGTGTGCAAGCATTATAACATATGCATTAAAGATCCCCTATTATCCTCTTTTTCATCAACCTCACAGCTCTCAGATATATCCAGAGCCTGATAATTGCAGCATTACCCATAATCCCCTCTGTTTCAGCCCTGTTTCCAAAGTGCTGATTCTCTGTCTGTTACTTTAGATGAAAATAAGGAGCCCCTCCCCACGGCCCTCTGAGAGACATTTGGTTACAAAGAACTCAATGGAGCTCAAGGAGGAGATTCAGGTGATAAGGGGGGTGGGGGGGGTTACCTTGGTTGCTGATTGGCTAATGGTTACACAAGCCAACACATCGTTATGACATCATCAAGTGACCAAAATCTGATCAGCTCATTTTCAGACAGGTTTTTATAGAAAAGGATCAAAAAGAGAGAGAATCTTTGTTCCTGAAACTTTCAGAGTCTCTTTCCACAGAGGGGACACATGTTGATGTAGAAGAGACATGGAGAAGAGGGGACACATGTTGATGTAAGAAGAGACATGAAGAAGAGGGGACACATGTT